ACCAAAACTTTCATGTGTTTTCAATTGTAAATCAGGTACCTAAATGTTTGAGACACCAAATTATTATATGTTAGGAATGTGCGTTACACAAAATATGAATCAGACCTAAGTATGTTGCATTTTCATGCAATTTCTCAACAAATGGTAATTTATTGTCATGATTCCTGTATTGGTTTAAGCTGTATTTGGTATAACATACATTCAAAACATTCATTTTGTACTTTAGATGAAAGTACATGAAATAAGTAGGAGTCGGACCAAAATACACTGTATTTTAATCTATTCGATCTCATATGTAAACCAATTACCTAAATGTTTGAGATGTCAAATCTTAAATATGAGATACCATAATGAAAGTTTGGATAAAATATGAACCAGACAAAGTACGTTACATTTTCTTGCAATTATCCAATAAAATGGTAATTAGACAAAATCCCTTTGTGGCCACGGAGGTTCAAATGCGGTGACTCCGGGCTATCTGCAAAGCAGATGGTCGCCCTGGGATTAGTCGGCTCGCATAGCGGGTTGGATATCCAGGTTAATAAAAAAATATTAATGTAGTAGTCAAACAACATATTTTCTAGCAAAGTTTCATCATTTTAGCAACCGATCACAAATTTTTAAGAGTCGTACGTAAACTTGATGACAAATATCTCCACTGAAATCAAGAAAAGATGGACGAAAATTACCCGTGATAAAGAAAAATACAAGAAATGTAGCGAATACCCAAGACTTCACCATCTTAAGTTGGTATGTTAAGTGAGTTGTCAATATATATCATGTATATATAGGAGACAAGAATAAAATCATTCTATGTTAATTATAATTGTATTTTATTTTTTGATTAACCTGAATATCCAACTCGCTATGCGAGCCGACTAATCCCAGAGTGACTACCTGCTTTGTAGATAGCTCGGAGTCACCGCATTTGAATTTTCATGGTCAAAGAGAAGTTTTATTTTTTCTTGAATCTGAAACCTTCTGGTACTTTTGTATAACACTATTTATTGTTGACGATAAATATGGCATTAATTAGTTGATAAATTTTTTAATATAAGATATATGTTCACATCATGACTTGACCAATTTTTCATTAATTGTTTTCCAAATATGGTAAAAGTATTATGTTTTGTTAATAATATTTTAGATTTTATTTAATCTTTTGACATATTTTATTTCAATTGCTGCAAATTAAAAGTATAATCATGATTAAATTATATTCTGATCTTTTTGATATATATTTTTATTATATTTACCAAATGCAATTCCACATGTTCAATTGGTTAGTTTGGAATGATGCAATTCACATGAGATCAATTAAATGAGAATTAATTAGTTTATGGTAACTGTAAGGTCTAATCTCAACCACAAATCAATAAATAAATTAAGAAATTTATAATTTTGGTAATTTTTAATGCAAGAACATTTTAGGTATTTTCTCTCTCCGTCTCCCGGCCTCCGTCCTCTGGCCACCGTCCTCCGGTGATACCACAGTAGTATCACAATGTATCTTATATGTGATTGAGTATCACACTGAGGTCGTTTGTGTGGTTGATTGGATATGTAACACAGTGGTATCACAATGCATCTTATATGTGCTTGAGTATCACACTGTGGTATCACCGGAAGGCGGTGACCGGAGGATGGTAGTCGGAAGATGGGGGCGGAGAGAGAAGAGAGAAGAGAATACCTAAAATGTTCTTGCATTAAAATTTTAATTAATAATTACCAAAATTATAAATTTTTTAATTTATCTATTGATTTGTGGTTGAGATTGGATCTCACGGTTACCACAAATTAATCAGTTCTTCCTTGAATGAGCCTATATATATATATATATACACATATATATATATATATATATTTGCAATTAAAATGTAAATAGTTATAAATGTTTAACTATATTATCCCAAGTCAAAATATGTCTATGAAGATTAAAAAAATAGTAAATCATCATTGCAGCAAATTTTTGAAATTCTTTTTAAAATGAAGAATCAAAATTTAAAATTAAAAAAAAAATTATTTTCAATTTTAATTGTTTTTATATTTTTAAGATTATAACATTG